GAATAGGAAAAGGACAGAATAGAATAGAATAAGAAAAGGAATAAGAATAGGAAAAGGTCAGAATAGAATAAGAAAAGGAATAAGAATAGGAAAAGGAATAGGAAAAGGACAGAATAGAATAGCATAGAATAAGAAAAGGAATAAGAATAGGAAAAGGTCAGAATAGAATAAGAAAAGGAATAAGAATAGGAAAAGGAATAGGAAAAGGACAGAATAGAATAGCATAGAATAAGAAAAGGAATAAGAATAGGAAAAGGTCAGAATAGAATAAGAAAAGGAATAAGAATAGGAAAAGGAATAGGAAAAGGACAGAATAGAATAGCATAGAATAGGAAAAGGAATAAGAATAGGAAAAGGAATAGGAAAAGGAATAGGAAAAGGACAGAATAGAATAAGAAAAGGAATAAGAATAGGAAAAGGAATAGGAAAAGGACAGAATAGAATAGGAAAAGGAATAGGAAAAGGACAGAATAGAATAGCATAGAATAAGAAAAGGAATAAGAATAGGAAAAGGAATAGGAAAAGGACAGAATAGAATAGCATAGAATAAGAAAAGGAATAAGAATAGGAAAAGGAATAGGAAAAGGAATAGGAAAAGGACAGAATAGAATAAGAAAAGGAATAAGAATAGGAAAAGGAATAGGAAAAGGACAGAATAGAATAGGAAAAGGAATAGGAAAAGGACAGAATAGAATAGAATAAGAAAAGGAATAAGAATAGGAAAAGGATAGGATAGAAAAGAAACAGGAAAATGATAGGTTGGATAAATAAATAAATAGAACGTTTGGTTCAAATCCGCAGGGCAGAGATTGTATTATTCTCCACACCCACTTATTTCGGGTGGAGAAAACCCGCGTGGTGATTAACGAAGGGAAAAACGAACGGCCAGGATCGGACCCGCTCAGAAACCACCTTCGCCCACGGCATCCTTGACTCTCCCCTCGGCTGGCTCTGTGCCCCGCAGCGAGCCCAACCTCCGCGGGGAAACACGCCACGCTCGGCTTACGGCGTCAAAAGGAGCCAGCCTGGCCAAGCGCCCTCGTGTGAACCCAATTGGGGGCGGTCAAGAGGATCACCACCTGCCGGGCGAAACGGGCTCCGGGGAGACCCCCCCCAAACCGCCGACCTCTCCCGCAAGACGGCAGCCTTTTCACCCGCGGGGACCCTCCGCGGGAGGGGAAGAGCCGTTTCCGAGACACCCGCCCTCCCCTCCCCTCCCCTCCAACGCCTCGCTCCCTCTCTCTCTCTCTCTTTCTCCCCGGTCCTTATCCGATGGCTCGCCGGCCTCCCCTCCCCGTCCTCGCCGCCCGCTTCCCCCGAAGACGGCTCCCCTTCTTCCCCTTCCCCTTCCTACCCCGGCTCTCCCTCCTTCTTCTCTGCGGTAGCCACTCCGCTTCAAAATGGCGACGATGGAAAGGCGGTCACGTGAGCCCGCGGGGCCAGGTCAGGTGACCGGTGGGAGGGAGTGAAAGTTCCGTCTCTTGACTTTCTCTTCTCCCCCCTCCTCCCGCCCACATGTTACCATAGAGACCGGAAGGCGCACGAGGCTGGCCGAGCGGGAAGTGCGCGTGCGCGCTCTCCCTCCCTCCCTCTCTCTCTCTCTCCCTCCGCGTTCGCACGACGCTCTTTTAACACGCTTTTGAGGGGTGGGGGGAGGAGGAGGAGGAGGAGGAGGGCGAGCGGGCCCGCTTCTCTGGTCGCGTAAGCCGTGCGGTAACCAGAACTAGAAGGCGGTAACCTGCTTTAAAAGCTATCCGAGCCTGGTGTGGGGAATGTGTGTTTGGGGAGCCAGGTCAGCTGGGTCGTGTGAACGACCTTAGCTGCCCCTCAAAGGGGTCGCATGCAACTGTACACTGTAGTGGTGATATGGGTTTGGTCATCAGGCTGCTTTGCTTGCAAAAATTGTGATTTTTGTAACTTTTTATTTTTTTAAAAAAAAAATTCTATTAATTTGTTGAGATGGGTGGCCGTATCGGTTAAATAAATCAGTACATAAAATAAATAAATGCATCTCCTTTTAAGTTACCATTTCCTGTCCCCAGAGAGGGGATTCTCAGTTTATCAGTTTGCAGAAGTAGGGCTGCAATTATTGTTATATTTTTTTACTTTACTTGTGTGTCTATAGAATAGTTATATATTTATATATCTCTTGTGTGCGTGTATCTATAAGGGACGGGGTGGCTCAATGGCTGAGCTTCTCGATCAGAAAGGTCGGCAGTTCAGCGGTTCGAATCCCTAGCGCTGCGTAATGGAGTGAGCTCCCGTTACTTGTCCCAGCTTCTGCCAACCTAGCAGTTCGAAAGCATGTAAAAATGCAAGTAGAAAAATAGGAACCATCTTTGGTGGGAAGGTAACAGCGTTTCTGTGCCCCTTCTGCATTTAGTCATGCCGGCCACATGACCACGGAGAGGTCTTCGGACAGTGCTGGCTGTTTGGCTTTGAAACAGAGATGAGCACTGCCCCCTAGAGTAGTGA